GAGTCAGGGGAAACCAAAGCAAAAATGAACTATTGGAACTTCATCAAGGTAAAAAGCTGCACAGTGAAGGAAACAATCAGCAAAACTAAAAGTAACTGACAGAATTAGAGAAGATATTTGCAAATGACATATCAGATAAAGGGTTAGTATTCACAATTTTTAAAGAACTTATCAAACTCAACACCCAAAACAAAGAATCCAGTGAAGAAATGGGCAAAAGGCATGAATAGACACTTTTCCAAAGAAGACATCTAGATGGCTAATAGACCCGTGAAAAAATGCTCAACATCACTCATCATCAGGTGAATACAAATCAAAACCATAGTGAGATACCACTTCACATGAGTCAGAATGGCTAAAATTAACAAGTCAAGCAGCAACAACAGATGTTGGCGATCATGCAGAGAAAGGGGAACTCTTTTGCCGGTAGGAATGTAAACTGGTTCAACCACTGTGGAAAACAGTATGGAGGTTCCTCAAATGATTAAAAATAGAACTACCTTTTAGTTCTACTAAAAATAGAACTACCCAGCAATTGCACTACTATGTATTTATCCAAAGGATACAGGTATGCTGTTTCAAAGGGACACATGCACCCCAATATTTATAGCAGTGCAATCAACAATAGCCAAAGTATGAAAAGAATCCAAATGTCCATCAACAGATGGATGGATAAAGAAGATGTGGTGTGTATATACAATGGAATACTACTTGGCAATCAAAAAGAATGAAATCTTGCCATTTGCAACAATATGGATGGAACTAGAGGGTATTATACTAAGTGACATTAGTCAGAGAAAGACAAATATATGACTACTCATATGTGGAATTTAAGATACAAAACAGATGAACATAGGGGAGGGGCAGCAAAAATAATGTAAAAACAGGGAGGGGGACACAACATAAGAGACTCTTAAATATAGAGAAAAAACTAAGGGTTTTTGGAGGGTTTGTGGGTGGGGAGATAGCTAAATGGGCAAGGGGCATTAAAAAACACACTTGTTGGGATGAGCACTGGGTATTATACATAGGGCATAAGTCACTGGATTCTACTCCTGAAATCATTATTGCAGTATATGCTAATTATCTTGGATGTCAAATAAATAAATAAGTAAATAAATAAATAAAACTCTGATAGAGTAAAAACTTCTTAAAAATGTCTAGAATAAGGCAGATCTTGGAAATTATTTGTGCATCTAATAAGCACCATATAGCAAAAAGTATAATGTGATACAAAAATATAAACAAAACAACTCACTGGGCCATCAAATGTGAAAACACTTTTGAGAAAAAAAATAATTATAATCTTGGAAAGTAAATGGCAAAGAAATCAAACTTAGAAAAATAAAAATTTCCAATAAGTATATGAATTATTATTATTATTGGATAATAATATAGGAGGAACTAGCAATTGAAACTGCAGGGCTAGAATTGACAGAACTTACTTTTTAAAAATTTTGTAGAATGGAAGTCACAAAAAAATAAAAAATAAAAAATTAAAGAATTTGTAGGAACAGTCACTTCTTAGGGTTTATTGTCTGGGCCTATTACACTGACATTAGACAGATTAAGTAGAGAAATGTATACAGATTTATATGTTTTATGTGACTGGGGAGCCCTCATAAAGGAATGAAGACCCCCAAAATGGCAAAACTTGAATACTTTTATATCGGTTTGAACAAAGAGAGGCAACTGTGGAAGAGTAGCTACTCTAAGAATGTGGAGAGGCTAAAGGAAGATAAGAATTATTTTAACAAGGTCTGTTTGGACAGATTTCTCTTGGCTTTAACTCCCTATAGAAGGATGATTCTTTTCTCCTAGTATAGGGAAGGCATCTTTCACATGGGGGTTTTATCACCTGTTTTCAGGAAGAAAAGGAGAGGTTAGAATACCCTTCATATATCTGCTGTTTTTCAAGTCCCTTTACCTCAAAATAATCTTTGCCAAAGTGGTATATTTTGAGGTGGCATATTCTGCCACCCTTGAATTTTAAGGATAATTTTGCTGGAGACAATACTAGGTTCATGGGCTTTTTCTTTGAATACTTTAAGTGTGTCACTTACTCTCTTCTTGCTTGAATGGTTTCTGAAGAGAAATATGATCTAATTTTTATACTTCTTCCTTTAGAGGTAAGATTTTTTTTTCCTTTTGGCTCCTTCAGGTTTTCTCTTTTTCTTTGATTTTTCTACAGTTTGAATATAATATGCTTAGGTGTAGATTTTTTGGCATTTATCATGTTTGCTGTTCTCTAAGCCTCCTCCATTTTGGAAAATTGTCAGACATTATTACTTCAGATACTGTTCCTGTTCCTATCTCTGTTTTCCTTTTGGCATCTCCGTGGTGCACATGTTAAACCTTTTGTAGTTGTCTCATGGTGCTTAGATATTATGTTCCATTTTTTTCACTCTTTTTCTTTTGCTTTTCAATTAGAGAAATTTCTACTAATATATCTTGAATATCTTCAAGCTCATTGATTCTTTCCTTAGCCATATCCAGTCTTCTGATGAACCCATCAAAGTCATTCTTCATATCTGTTTTTATGTTTTCAATACCTAGCAAATCCTTTTAATTCTTTCCAAAAGTTTCCATCTCTCTGCTTACCTTACCCATCTTTTTTGCCATTTTCTTTCACTAAAGCTCTTAGCATATTAATCATATTTTAAGTTCCTAGTCTGAAAATTCCAAAATCTCTGCATATCTGGTTTGGCTGTGTCTCTTCACACTGCACTGTTTGTTTGCCTTTTAATATACCTTGTAATTTTTTGTTGAAAGCTAGACGTGGTGTGTCAGATAAAAGAAACTCAGGCAAATAGGCCTTTAATGTGAGGTTTTATGATATCTGTCTTTCTCTGCCTGACTTATTTCACTTAGCATAATACCCTCCAGTTCCATTATGTTTTAAATGAAAGTACAATACCTTCTATGATGTATAGCAGGAATGTTAGTCCTAGAAATTTATTTTCCCCAATGAAATGTTATGTGGAACCCTACTTATTTACTGGATCACATCCTTTAATGCTCAATCAAAAACATTATTTTGGCAATAGTTTTTCATTTATTCAATTCACTTGTTGAGTACCTACAATGTACCAGGCACCATTTAATACATTGTGATATATTGGTCAACAAAATAATCAAAGACCCTTTTGTCCACAGTACATATAGTGCCCCAATATAGATTGGGATCTAAGTTACATTAAGGTCCCTATGTTCTGATGGATCAATTTAGAGCCCCCAGAAAGTCCTTAATGACATCTGTTCTACCAATGCTTAACTATTCCAACTTGAGAAATGGCATGAGCCTAAGATGCTGATCTAGTGATAGCTCTACAATTTTTAAACCTCATTAATTTCTAGCCAATTACTGAGATTTTAGTGTTTTAAAATTACCTTGGGGTCCAGGGAAGCCTGTGGCAACTATCTTAAAAGTTTGGGTATGCTAAATGTTATACAATGAATTGATGAAGTTAAGAAGTGTTCTTCTGGCTGCCTTTTTATTTTTTTAAATAAAGAATCTTTACAGTTTTTACAGACCTTTATCCTATTGATAACCATTGATTTTTTTTCTTTTTTCTGTTCTCTATTCAAAAAAATAATACTTTTTTATGTTGTGTCTTCAGCAATTCTGTTACACAGCATGTGCAAGTAATATGACATAAATTATAAAGTTATAGTTTCCAGAAGTTGCATAAAGTTAATAATATAAGAAGTAGTATCATAGGTAATGCTTTATAAAAAGAAATTCTGTTGTTGAAATCTGCCAACTTAATTTTTTTCCAAAAGCATGCAAGGAAGAAAGTGTATTGACAGAGGGTGGCTGGGGATATTGGGAAACATGAAAATGTTGCAAAACATTAAGTGGTAGGAAACTGTCAAGAAAATGTAAGCCAAAGGGGTGCCTGGGTGGCTCAGTCGGTTGAGGGTCCGACTTTGGCTCAGGTCATGATATCACGGTTCGTGGATTCAAACCCCACGTCAGGCTCTGTGCTAGCAGCTCAGAGCCTGGAGCCTGCTTCAGATTCTGTGTCTCCCTCTCTCTCTGCCCCTCCCCCACTCACACTCTGTCTCTGCCTCTCAAAAATGAATAAACATTAAAAAAATTTAAGAAAATATGAGCCATTATAAAATCCTGTTAATAGTAACTATGTTTCTAATTCAAGACTATTTATAACAATCTATGTGGGAGAGTGCATGGACAACAGGTAAATAATTTTAGGATAATATTTTAAGTGTCTCTGTAGTCTCAAACAAAGACTTATAGGATAGTGAATGCTTAGAGAAAGAATTAGAGATTTCTTAGTCTGCAGTTCCACATTAGGCAAGGAATACTGTGGTAAGCAGCCACCAGCATACCTGAGGCTCCTGAATGGCTCCTCTGACTGTGACCCATCCTATGATACTCCTCTATCCAGGTGTTAATGGAACATCAGCAGAGGAAGGATAACTTTCACATTGGAAAAGGATTCCATCTTGTTGTCCACTTCCCTATATTAATCTTAGGTACCTTATATCCCATGATCTTGCAGTATTGTCCTGCAAGAAGATTGAATTTTATGTAAAGAATGTATGTCTTGGGCCTTCTACAGGAAGGGTGTTATTCAGAGTACCAAATATACATTTACAGATGTGTGCATATATTTATGTATTTACGTTATGTATGATAAAACCAGGGAAATAATTAACACTAGAATCAGGAGAACGATTTACCCTTAGGTTGTAGTGAGGAGGATGAGATTTTGGTGAGCTTCACAGAGCTCTAAAGGACAGCTTAATTCCTGTGTTTTAAGCTGAGCAGTGGGCTTATGGCTGTTAATTTTACATATTATCTACTTCATTTTAAAATTTGAAAAAAGGAAGTCACACATACAAAATGTTATATCATGAGTATCTGATTTTTTTAATGGAATTTATCTGTGGCACCAAGAGAGATTCTAATAGTATCTCGGAGCAACATTTTGATGGACAAAATGTCATAGTCTTTTTTTTTTTTTTTTTTTCAGTCCGAAAGGACATAGTCCGCATCCTCCCCAGTTTAGATGTTGAAGTCAAAGACATTACTGACAGTTATGATGCCAACTGGTTTCTTCAGCTATTATCTACACAAGAGCTCTTTGAAATGACCAGTAAAGAGTTCCCCATAGTGGCTGAAGTCATAGAGGCACCTCAAGGAAACCAGCTGCCCAGAAGCATTTTACAGCCTGGGAAAACCATTGTGATCCACAAAAAGTATCAGGCATCGAGGATCTTAGCTTCAGAAATTCGAAGCAATTTTCCTAAAAGGCACTTCTTGATCCCCACTAGCTATAAAGGCAAATTCAAGCGGCGACCTCGGGAGTTCCCAACTGCCTATGACCTTGAGATAGCAAAGAGCGAAAAGGAGCCTCTCCATGTGGTGGCCACCAAAGCCTTTCATCCCCTTCATGATGAGCTGTCATCTGTATCTGTCGGGGACCAGTTTCTAGTGCATCACTCACAGACGACTGAAGTCCTTTGTGAGGGAATCAAAAAAGTGGTGAATGTTCTGGCCTGTGAAAGAATCCTCAAAAAATCCTATGAGGCAGCACTGCTCCCTTTATACATGGAAGGAGGTTTTGTAGAGCTGATTCATGACAAGAAACAGTACCAGATTTCTGAGCTCTGTTCGCAGTTCCACTTGCCTTTCAATGTGAAGGTATCTGTGAGAGATCTTTCCATTGACGAAGACATTTTGGCTGCTACACCAGGACTGCGGTTGGAGGAAGCCATCACAGACTCTTACCTACTCATAAGTGACTTTGCCAACCCCAAGGAGTGCTGGGAAATTCCTGTCAGCCGCTTAAATATGACTGTTCAGTTAGTTAATAGTTTTTCTAAGGACACAAAATCATTTCTAGTCAGGACTCTGGTTGAAGAGATCACTGAAGAACAATATTACATGATGCGAAGATATGAAAGCTCTTTCTCCCACCCCCCACCTCGCCCTCCCAAACATCCCGCAGTGGAGGAAACAAGGTTAACCCTGCTCACCTTGGCAGAAGACAGGGCCATAGGTCTGCCTAAGTCTCCCAAGGTAAGGCTATGATTTTGTGATTTTTCCTCTTTAGCATTTTTCTTGAGGCACTTTATCTCAAGTCTTAGTTCTGAATTTGTTTTTTGCTTACTTTTCTTTCTTTCATGCCGTATTTGAAATGAGCCTTTCTGGTGCACAGTAGATGAATGAACATCAACAGAGCATAAGCTGTTGCAGCATTTTGTATTTTGATGCTTAACCAGTAGATGTGACAAGAAGTTTATATTGAATTAGAAATAGCAGGGATGACATTTGGATATGATGACCCAAATTGCCGTTTCAATGGGTTTTGGTAATTAGGAATGTTTTATAAGGTGCCTCAGAAGCAAATCTCTTTTATTTTGAAAGTGCTGTTCGTTTTTTCTAGGTAGAGTTGTTTTAATACTTCATCCAGGAAATGAGCATACCATAAACTCCCTTCTTCGGGGGGGTTACCAGTAGCATGGGTCTATAACACATGTCTTCATTTTGTTTTATGTGCAGAAAGATGTAAAAATATCTTGGCAGAACTGTGTGTGAGCATATGAGCATCTGCCCACATTCTGCCTATCTGAGGATTGTAATCTTTAACAGTTCTATTGAAAAACAAAATCAATAAAATTGCAGACAGTGTGAGATCATTACAGAATCAACAACTCCATAACCATTGTAAAGATTTGGGGAGGGGTGGGGTTTCAGCTTCATTTCTACTTGAAGTCTTTGCCTCTTGAAAACTGCCTGCTGAGTGCCTGGAAAGCACTTGCCCTTACCCCGTGGAGCGCAGGTCGTTCATCTGGACGGCAGTGGTTCTGTGGTGTGTGGAAGAAGCGGTTCTGGCCTAGCAGATGTTGTGCTAGCAGCTTGGGGAAACAAAGCAATTAGTAAAACAAAGAGAGATGCTGTGTTTACTCTCTACACTCAGGAATGATAGCAGCCTCAGGCTTCAAGTATGTGGGTATGAAAATACTTTTAATTCTCCATTTCAAAGATTGCATTCTGAGTGCATGCTGGATAAATCCAGTAAGAATCTTCAAACTCATCTTCAGAAAAAGATAAAAGCAGCAGAAATTTCCTTTCCAGAAAAACAATCTTGAAAGAGTCATTTTAAATTAAATCATTGTTCCCAAATAATGTTGATTAACAGGCTGCTATTAATGTGGAGAGTATATGGCTTTTCCTGTTTCATATATTTTTATTGCTGAATGGAATGATGTGAGAGATGCGATGCTGGTCTCATTTTTAGCAGGAGGCATGATAACCCCATTACCCCCCGATGCCCTCCCAAGATGTTCGTGACTAAGCCTCCAGAACCTATGGATATGTTGCATTAGATAGCAAAAGAGACTTTGCACATGTGCTAAAAATTAAGGACTTTGAGATGAGATTATTCTGGATTAACCACATAGGTCCAACTTAATCATGAGTTTCACCGCTTGATAAGAATATCATCTCTTTGTTTTGTTCCAATTTAAAAAGTCTAGGATTTGGGAGCACATGCCCATCTCTTGGATGAATCAGTTCATTGGCTGCACCAACTACAGCCAAGATTGTTGGGGAAGGGAATGAGGACTGCTTGTCACAAGTAGTAGAGATACTGGAACAGTATGTGAAGATCTGAAGATGTCCATTACAATCAGGAAGGAAGGAGTCAACAATCCTAAACTACTGGGAAGAATTCATAGGGAAAAAAAAGGTTGAAAGTTTTTAGAATGCCATTTCACAGAATGTCAGATGAAAACGATGTACGTGTCTTATTAGGAGAGAACCTCAAAAAACAAGTTACACATAGGTTACTGACTTGGAAAAACCTCCAGACCCCCTCCTGAGTCTCTCCTTTACTCTCACACGGCTGCCACACTCACAATACTGACACTAGATATGTGAGTGTTTCTCATACCAAGCAATTTATTGACACCAACTGGACATTCTACAACTTAACTCGATTCTGACACTATCTACCCAGAGATAGAATCAGATCCCACATGTTAAGGGCTCAGTCACGCAAGACTGCCCCCCACTTAAGATGCTAATTGCAGGTAGTAGGTCCTCAGGTTACCTATAACTTCTGTCCGAGAAGGCTTCAAATTGGAGGTTCCCACGAGCCCCTCCTCGGGTTCAATGAATTCTCTAGTGTGGCTCAGACAACTCAGAAATACTTCGGTTTACTAGTTTCTTAAAGGATAGGATAAAGGATACAGATAAACAGTCAGATGAAGAGATAAGCAGGGCAAGGTCTGGTAGGGTCTGGAAACACAGGAGCTTCTGTCCTGTATAGTTGGGATGTGCCACCCCCTTGTTAACCTGGAAGCTCTCCAAACCCCATACTTTTGGCATTTTTATGGAGGCTTCTTCACACAGGGACAATCAATTATTAACCTTATTTCCAGTCCCTCTCCCCTCTCTGGAAAATTCCAGAGTGGACAGTGGGAGAGGGGCTGAAAACTCCAAGCTTCTAATTATGTGGTGGTTTTTCTGGTGACCAACCCCCATCCAGAAACCCACTCAGGGTCACCTCATCAGAAAAAAAATATGTATATTCCTATCACCCAGGAAATTCCAGGGGATTTAGGAACTCAGTGTCAGGAACCTAAGGTAGAGACCTATTTTTATTTTCTGGTATCTCACAGTTACTAAAATAAAACTAATAGAGTCTTTGACTAAATCCTATGCCATTTACATGTAGAATTCCATATCAAGTTAATAATTTCTGACTGCTTTTTCACTGGTCAGACCTCACATGGATTCTTTTGTCTATTTCTGAGTTCCACCTCTGAAGAATATTAATTAAAGTTTATTAAACGTTGAGTTGTTTGTTAAGATGTTAAAAAACCCAGGAGCCAGGGGCGCCTGGGTGGCGCAGTCGGTTAAGCGTCCGACTTCAGCCAGGTCACGATCTCGCAGTCTGGGAGTTCGAGCCCCGCGTCAGGCTCTGTGCTGATGGCTCGGAGCCTGGAGCCTGTTTCCGATTCTGTGTCTCCCTCTCTCTCTGCCCCTCCCCCGTTCATGCTCTGTCTCTCTCTGTCCCAAAAATAAATAAACGTTGAAAAAAAAAATTTAAAACAAAAAACAACAACCCAGCAGCCATTTTCATCTGACAAATGGTTGAGGGAACTGAGTGATAGTCTAAACTTGAATGACTTGGAGCTAGTTGATACTATTGTATACATTTAAGGAGCTATTGTGTGGCCAAGTTATCTTCTCTCTCTCTTTTTTAATGTTTATTTGTTTATTTTAAAAGAGAGAGTGCTCACGAGCTAGCATATGCGTGCAAGTGGGGGAGGCACAGAGAGAGAGGGAGAAAGAGAATCCTAAGCAAGCTCCATGCTCAGCATGGAGCTAGGTTGGGGGGCTCCATCTCACATTCAGGAGATCATGACCTGAGCCAAAATCAGGAGTTGGATGCACAACCCACTGAGCCACCCAGGCACCCCACATTCTCATTTTCTATCACAACGTTGGTTGCGAGTTAAAGGGAGGACAACTTTGGTGTGATATTTTGGAACAGATTTCTTGTCCCAGAAAAGGTGAAAGCAGAAGCTAGGAAAAATCCCAGGTCAGTGATGTTATCAGGACACTTCTCCTCGGTTGACAGTTTATCAGTCAGTTGAGAAGGGTCTATAATTCTTTGTTTGTAATTAGTTTCATCAATGCTAGTGTGGTAGATAAAAAACTATATTTTCTCTGAAATCACATTAAAATCAGAGGATGCTGTAATTTACCTGTGCTCAGACCTACTGACCTCATTTTCAACAATTTTTTTCACCAGGAAGATAAAAATCTGCTTAGTGGATCATTTTTGGAATATAAACAGAAGCTCTGTCAGTTTCTGCATAATCTACTTGAAAAGTCTTGCAACCAACTATTTCTTATCATCACAGTGTCATCCTTTCATATACTTCTTTTATGTTTCTTCTGATATCTGCATTAAAGCTCTTCTATCTATGTATGCTTTTAGAAGTGATTGGTTAGAACACTTTTTATATTCCACAGACAGAAAGCAGCCATTGGAAATAAGCCTCTAAGATTTTGAATTGCATATGGAATATTGCTTGAAACTCAGAGAATAATTTGCAAGGGCTATTCAGTGTTTAAATATTCAAACTCACTTAACTCATTAAAATACCTTATTATATATGTAGAGTAGAGTATCAAATTCCTCATTATGTAACTTTACTTATGCCTTCCCAGTGGGTCATTAATTTTACTAGATCATTTCTTGCACTATTAAACAACAGGACAGACACATGTACTATCTAAGAGTACAGGTATCCACTGTTAGTTATGAACTTACATGTTCAAAGAAGTTTAGAAATGAAGAGAATATGAGGACAGGTTACAGAAACTAGAATAAACAGAAAGAACTATTTTCCAGGGTAGGATTACAACTGTTCTGTAGCTTCAGCAATGCCTAAAATAAGAATCAATTGTAGTAGCACTTTGAGAACTGTGATATGGATATGAGCAGGGCAGGTGAGGGGTGTGTGTGTGTGGGGGGGTAGATCTCAATAGAGATGACAACACATCTCAAAGCCTATGAAGTTTTACACTGAAGGAATTTATTGTTGTTTTGAAAATGTGATAGCTGTTAGGGAAAATAATGTATGGGGTCTAAACAAAGGGATAAGAATATACCAAGTGACCCCTCAAAATTCCTTTTAGCCTGATGACAATGTAGACATAGTATCTTTAAGAGCTTTGCATTCAGATTCTTAATGAGATGAGAACAATATTATAAAATGACTAAATAAATGTCTGGGCTTAAAACTGTTTTCGAAATAGGAATCTTCTGGGGCAGACTCTCCTTTCCTGAGGGTTAGTTCCTATGTCAGAAATAGTTTCAGATAGTTTGAAAGAACATGTACTCACTGGGGTTTCTGCCTGTCCTGGATATATATGGCTATGACTGCTGAGTGCCACATAGGAGAAATGTAACTTCTGTATTCTGATGAAAGGGCCTATAACCACATAGAAAAACAAACCTTTGGTTGAAAGATGAGATATTCTACTCCTTCCAAGGCTGC